TACATTCCAAGTACTGTAATATAGAAGTAATGGGACGTACCGTGCTGTGGGTGACGTACCGTGTCGGGCGGGTAGTAGACGTACTCGAAGTACCAGTTAGGGACGCCACCGAAGAGGTGCGTGCTAGGGGTGAAGGGAAAGAAGCGGCCTCGGCCCATGCTGTCCCGGGAGTCTCCAGCCACAACTCCAATATTGTTCAGACACTTTCCTGCATCCAGTAACAAAGGATTTCAAAGGAATTCATAGACCATCAGACCCTTATATTGTTCAATAGTTTTTGCCTGTTCATAGAGCTATGCAAAATTTTTAGGAAAATTAAAATATAATTCGTTCTAGTGAATATATACAGAAAATGATGGGTAGCTTGGTAATTTTATTTGTAAAAATTCCAGGTAAATTCTCCTGCATTGAATAATTTTCGCATTCACTAATCCGTCTCGGCATCTTCTCACCTCAATGCAACATCTACGAACACGACTCAGAATCTATCCTCACCAGTTAACTAATTAAATCATCCACTGACCCATCGTAGCATCTACTAGCTCATTTCAGGATTCACTGAATCATCCCGGCATCCATTTACCCATCTTAGCATTCAATGATCTACCTCATCATCTACTGACCCATCTCAACATCCACTGACCCATCTCAACATCCACTGACTCATCTCAGCAACCACTGACCCATCTCAGCAACCACTGACCCATCTCAGCAACCACTGACCCATCTCAGCAACCACTGACCCATCTCAGCAACCACTGACCCATCTCAGCAACCACTGACCCATCTCAGCAACCACTGACCCATCTCAGCAACCACTGACCCATCTCAGCAACCACTGACCCATCTCAGCAACCACTGACCCATCTCAGCAACCACTGACCCATCTCAGCAACCACTCGCCTATCTCAGCATCCACCGATCATTCTTAACATCCACTGACCCATCTCAGCAACCACTCGCCCATCTCAGCAACCACTGACCCATCTCAACAACCACTGACCCATCTCAGCAACCACTGACCCATCTCAACATTCACTGACCCATCTCAGCAACCACTGACCCATCTCAGCAACCACTGACCCATCTCAACATCCACTGACCCATCTCAGCAACCACTGACCCATCTCAACAACCACTGACCCATCTCAACATCCACTGACCCATCTCAGCAACCACTGACCCATCTCAACATTCACTGACCCATCTCAGCAACCACTGACCCATCTCAGCAACCACTGACCCATCTCAACATCCACTGACCCATCTCAGCAACCACTGACCCATCTCAACAACCACTGACCCATCTCAACATCCACTGACCCATCTCAGCAACCACTGACCCATCTCAGCAACCACTGACCCATCTCAACAACCACTGACCCATCTCAGCAATCCACTGACCCATCTCAGCAACCACTGACCCATCTCAGCAACCACTGACCCATCTCAGCAACCACTGACCCATCTCAGCAACCACTGACCCATCTCAACATCCACTGACCCATCTCAGCATCCTCGGAGCCAGTGTCATCGTGCTTACAGAGCTTCTTGTCAGGCAGCGCCACCTCCACAAACTGCTTCAAGGCCTCACTGCTCAACACGTATCCTCCACCTGCGATCACAGTCATGGAGAGAAAGTGACAGGCAAGCAGAAAGATAGACAGAAAGACAGGAAAACACATAGGCAGACGAAGCAGACGAGAGTGCGAATAATATTTGTTTTTATTAACATTAACAAAATAATGGAAGGATTTTTCCATACAAATCTTTAGTTAATATATCCAGGGTCTCAAAAACATTTTAACAACAGAGAGCACAGTAATTATGATTAAAAATAAAATAATTGTCTCTCACCTTAATAGTGTCTAACCCACATTCAACTTCACACCCATCTATCTCACTCACTTAATCTTTCACCCACCTACAACCACCCACTTACCTCCACTCATGTAGCCTTGCTTGCTGAACTTCTTGAACTTTGAGCCGAAGTAGATGGGGAAGTTGGGGTCGTAGGTCGAGAGCATGTAGCGCATGTTCTCCATGATGGTATACCTGAGAGGTAGACTGTTTGTGACTGGTGGTAGACTGTGTGTAACTGGCGGTTGGTGACTGAATGGTGGTTGATGACTCTGATTGGTAGCTGGTGAATTTGACTGCAGATAGACTGCTTGTGACTGGTGATTGGTGACTGTGACTGATGGTTTGTGACTGTGACTGGTGATTGATGGATATGACTGATGGTTGATGACCGTGACTAACAGTAACATGTTCTTGCATGATTTAGACTCGCAGTGAAACATTGGTGGAGAATTTAGACTGGTAGTGAATCAATAGTTGAGGATTTTATCTGATAGTGATATTTGGGTTGATGACTGATATAGATGAATGTGCTGAAGACTATGATTGATTATGAAATTTATATTGATAACTGACTAGTTGCTGCAGATAGGAACATGAGTGGGTCTTTTAGTGTCAGGAGGATTGCTAACTCTTAGTGGATGTGACTGTCTGGTTGGTGAATGTTGTTGAAATGAAATGATGAAGACAAATTTGTGAATTGAATTGGCATTAACTAGTTGATATATTTAAGTCTGGCAGTAGCAGATGAATGACTGGTAATGAGATATTGGCTGAAACTTGAACTGTAACAGGTGGCTAGGAGACTGTCAATAACAGGTTGGTTGATGATCGTAGCTGCAAGTGAGGTTGGAGTTTGTAACTGGTAGCGATACATGATTGACTACTTCTTGCAGTTAAATTGATGACTGGCAATAAATGATGGACTGATGATTATCAGTGAAGATTTGCCCTCAGATTCAGATTATTTCAAGTCTACCTCCAGTTTACGTAGAGTTCCGAGGTAACTTACGCATCGTTATCGACGAAGATCTGCGAGGTGACTTACGTGTCGTCGTCGGCCTTAAAGAACCAGTCGTATTGAGACAAGTAGTTCTTGTAGACGTAGGTGAAGGCTGCCTTTGTCTTGCCCCACAACACGTTCCTCCCCTCACCAACACCAAGGTCGATAATCCCAAGCTGAGTGTCTGCGGATACGACCTTCTTCAACACCCTCATAATTACCACCTTCTTGGTAGAAGATATCAAGAAGGCACAAAGATGTGAAGGAGGGTTAAGAAGGTGACCCCTCGGTAGAGTCAGGACAACTGGCATTAGAGTAGGAGAATAAGCAACAGAAGGGGGAGAGAGTCGGGGGCAGCGGAAAGTTGTTCCAGATGACCCCAATATTCCAGGGAGCTGGAATATGAAAGACAGATGGTGGGAATGTTACTCATCCTGTGCGTTACAGATGCCAATTGATGCTCTCAAGATTTATTAAGTTAATTAAATTATCCTCCGTATTGCTCTTCTGCCGCTGAGTTGGTTGCAGTTTTTTTTAAGATTCATTGACTGCCTAAAAACAAAAAGTACTGACGCAACTAGGAAAGTCAATGACCATTTTCAGGAGGACACTTATTCATTCTGAGAAAGGCCATTAACCGTTCTGAGTTCTGAGGACATTCACTGACTAATCTGAAGAGGGATACTTGAAATTCTGAGTATGACACCTGACCATTCTGAACAGAAACAATAAGTACTTTGAAGAATACCTCTGAGGACCGCTACTCACTAACCTGAGGGCCATTGACCACTCTGAGGAGGGGTACTACTGACCATTCTTGGAGCTCATGAAGATAAGTTTGTCACAGCGGGCGCCCCAGGTGGCCTTGACGTGGACGGCCTTGCTGTGGTGCGTCTCCGGACGAGTCATCACCCAACACAGCACCCGCACCTTCTGCGTCTCCTGCAGCGCCTTCACTATACATAAACACACAAACATAAACAACAGAACTAAGTAACCTGCAAAAGACTTATTAGCCTATGTAAGGCATCTCTTATTTCCACCCAACCTCTCCCACCTACATTTATTGCCGTAAATGGTCCACTTCTGCAGTCCTATATCCGAGTAATGGTTTACAGAAGACCAGTGCTGGGACCTCTGCTACTCCAAGTACCAATAAGTTATGTGTTCTAATGTGTTGTTTGCTAATTATGCCAAGTTGATGAGGAAACTGGCAAGGAATGTCATGTGTAAATGGAACATACAATAATTTGTTATAAGAAAAAAGTGTAGGACGTAGATATAAAGTTATATTAACATAAGGCTCAACAGTCCTAAAGATTGTTCAGGCTCAAGACTCCCTATGGAACGTCTCGCTAGTCTCCCTGTGCTCGTTCTACTCTCACAGTTACTTAAATTCACCCAAAATTAATATAATACAAGCTTATCTAGGGAGAAATGGGGTGAATCAATACTATGTTAACGATAAAATCCGTTTACTTAAAGGAGACGACACAGAAAATAATATATATCCAGATATCCAGAGTATCACTCAATCACTTTTTAATAATATTTATACATGTATAACACTTTCTAGCATGCCAGACTGATTAAACACAATAAAGCCTAACAACAGGAAACACAACAGACTTATCTTTTACAGAAGTCTGGTGGAAGGTCTGGTTGGTCCGGTGGACCAACACTATAGCACTGAGGTCTCCAGGCGAGGTTGCCCCCCACACAGACGCCTCCTCCCTCACCAACCAATCGTCTGACACAACCCTCGTGACTAACACACTTGGACACACTTGAGATAATCACTCAAAAACAGACACAATCATACTACTATAATATTCTCCACATTTGGGAAGTATAACTAAAACACTAAACATTCGTAAAAGAAGATAATAATTCTGTATGATGAAACAACTTGAAACGCTTTGCGTACTAGTGGCTTTAGGTATTGTATGTACTACCTCTATCTTTAAATCTAACAGAATGTTTGTTCTGTAACTCTGCAACTATGTATGTACTGTTTCTAAATAAATTATTATTATTATTACAAACAGGCAACAGTACCGACCCACCGACTTGCTCTTCTCACTCACATATATAAAACCAGCCCTTATCACGGCTCACATCTGATCACGTATAGCATAAAATATGCTACCACCACATCCTATCATAAACATAATATAGCAGCCAATCCATTATATGTAAATACCACTCATACTAGACAAATTGGCACGGAATAAATAAGATACGCACACATGTGAAAACCAGGTGGGTCGTAACATCCCACCACCCAATTATGTTTACCTGGGTGGTGGGAGTGGTTGTGGGTACTGAGAGGGGAGTTTACCTGGGTGGTGGCTGTGGTTGTGGGTACTGAGAGGGGAGTTTACCTGGGTGGTGGGAGTGGTTGTGGGTACTGAGAGGGGAGTTTACCTGGGTGGTGGCTGTGGTTGTGGGTACTGAGAGGGGAGTTTACCTGGGTGGTGGCTGTGGTTGTGGGTACTGAGAGGGGAGTTTACCTGGGTGGTGGCTGTGGTTGTGGGTACTGAGAGATGTAAGGGGAGTTTACCTGGGTGGTGGCTGTGGTTGTGGGTACTGAGAGGGGAGTTTACCTGGGTGGTGGCTGTGGTTGTGAGTTTTTAAAGGGAAGGCGGGTACAACCTCGTCGACCAAGTCATCATGGCTGAGCGGCTGTCTGGACATCATGTGGGCAGGAGGTTTGTAGGTGAAGAGGTATTAGGTGATAAATTGGAGTAGCAGAATGGGTGAATAAAGATAGATATTAAATATTAATTCCATTAAGTTTAGACTGAGAAAGTAATTTGTATTATTGATACTGTTAATAAAAAAAAGAAACATAAGGGATACATCTTTGAAAACAATATCTTTTGTGAAAGAGAACAATTTAGAGAAACTATTATAATGACTACATTTAGTAGACACACTGCTGAAAACGTGAAAATCCTTATACCCTCACAATAATAATAATAATAATACTATGGCACAATATTATACTTAGCAAAATATAGATAAATGTAAGTAAATATAGTTAAATCTGGTGTAATATGGGTCAATATGTGTACGTATGAATATATATAGACAAATATTGGTAAATATAGACAAATATGGGTAAATATAGACACTTTTGAGCCATTTCCAGTATCAATAGATGATCCTGGAGATCTGTGGAGGTGCGACTGCACCCTGCGTGACGGGAGATGTCTCCCGTCAACAGATCTTACAATACTAGTTGATTTTATACCCGCACTGGGTCAGGTGATAATACCATAAAGGTGAAAACATGGGGGGATACATAAGGGATAAATGTGAGGTGGACACATAGAGGCTGCAGAAGGCTTATTGGCCCATACGAGGCATCTCCTATCTAAACACAAAGATTAATCCAGTGTAATTGGCCTATTATGTTTGGACATTGTCTTCTGTGTTGGCATCGATATGTTCTTGTCTTGTCCTTACTCTCATGGTGGGTAGAGTAAATAGTTCCGTGATTTGGGTGTTCATGGTAGGTCGCTCTATTCTTAGCGAATTGCCACAAGAATTTGTAATCTTCTTGCATCTTGGGTTTTGTCTATTATGCAGGTATTCTTGTTCAACATTTCTCTTGTTAGAGTATTGTCATGGGCTTGTCTCATGTGGATTCCTAGGGGCACCAGATTGAAGATGGCATGTCAAACGCCTCGTCAGCTTGGTCGACGTCATACCTATGTACTTACATTGAAGGTTACATCCTTTGTGGGGGCAAGTGTACATGTATACAACGCTTGACTGCTGTAGAGGGTTCTCCGTCGGCTTCGGGCTGTTTTTGATAAGGAGTTCGGAAGTCTTCTTGGTTTTGTAGAATATTATCAGGTTTATGTTTTGGTTAGGAGTAGTGCTTTTTTACTCCTTTACGGATTATTTCTTTCATTATTCTTTCCTCTTTTATATGTTCACTGTGCATGGTTGATTTGAAATATAATTTAATTGGGGGGTGTTGTGGTTTCTGTTCTAGGTTCTGAATTATACCAACGGTCCAAGTGTCTTCTTATAGCAGCGTTTATTTCCGCGTTGCTATATCCGTTGTTCACGATACCTGAGTTTACTCTTTCAAACTCTCTACTCACGTTGCTCCATTCAGAGCAGTGGGTAAGCGCTCGACGAATATAAGCATTGAGAACACTGGCTTTGTATCTTTGGGGCACTCACTTCTACCGTTCAGGCATAATCCTATGTTGGTGGGCTTGGTATATACGTTGGTGCTTAAAGAGGTTCCCTGTTTTGTTATTAGTACATCCAGGAATGGCAGACTGTTATTTTCACTATTTTCATGTGTAAATCGGAGTACTGACTCTCTCTCTAGGTGTCTTTTTTAGTTCAATTAGTTCATCTGAGTCTTTTACTATTACGAATATGTCATCTACACTAACGGCAATATACAGTTGGTTTTTGTCTGCTACTGAAGACCCTGTCTTCGATGGTTCCCATATAAAAATTAGCAAATAAAACTCCTAAGGGGGAGCCCATTGCTACTCCGTCTATTTGTAAATACATGTCTCCTTGTGGACTGATAAAAAGGGCTTCCTTTGTACATGCTTCGAGAAGACTTTTCAAGTGTGGCTCCGGTATGTCCTAATTTGGGGGGT